AGAGATGGATGGACTGTGGAAAGGAAGCCACCTGAATTTAGCACAGCCAAGTAGGGATGTGAACAGGAGAGTGTAGAGGGCTTTCCTTCATAGGGTCCCATAAGCTGGAGACAACTTGCCAGTGTGTAATGACAGACCGAATCTGCTTAGCTTTAGTTGATAGAAGAAATTGCACAATTAGGAAGTGTGCACACATCTGGAATTTTGCAGAAACCTCCCTTGATCTGCACTGGGCACAAAGGCAAAGGGAAGCTGGGCATGAGCGTCCCAGCAACCTCCACCGTGCTCCTTTGCCCACCCCTGTCCGTGAGATACTCAGCCAGTGCGCCATTTATGGATGCACATGGGCCGATCTTGAAGAAAAGATGGAAAGGGGGACACAATCAGAAGAAATGCAGCAAGGTTTTTCTTGCTGACTAGCAAGCTCTTGTTGATGGAGTGAGAGATCTTTATGAAGTTGATTAAAAGCTCGAGAGAGAGGGAGGGAGGGAGGGAGGGAGGGAGGGAGGGCTCATAAATTTCTTCTACTAGGTCAAATAATAAAATATGCTTTTTATGTTTATATGCTCCCTTTTCTAAACAATCAAGAGCATCTGTAGCTTCTGGTAATAAGGGAACTTACAGAAGGCTAATCAAACACTCCAACTCTTTAATGAGTAAGAGAGTAAATAACTCACAGTCTGTTAGAGTCATTTATGTCTTTTGCCTTAACCCTTTACTGTATCAGGTTGGAAATTCACAAATGCCACAGAAAAAGGCCACGTCCTCACCCTGTCATGGAAATCTTGATGCACATGGAGATAATTTTCACTCTTGTGTATCATTTGTTTTGCTAATTTGAGGAACAGCAGGAAGCTAGCCTTAGCAATGCCAGGGCACCCTCCCAGATGTTGATTTTAATTTTCAAAGCTTAGATTTCATGGGACTGCCCACAACCCTGCTTGTGGATTATGGGCCCCTATTGAGTGCAGAGGCAAGGGATGCCTATGAACTTCTCCTGCCCCTTTAGAAGATATTTTGGGCCGTCTTTGTCTTTGTCCTTGAATGCAAGGAGGGCAGACTAAGGTACATGGGGATCCTGTGAGTCATGGCAGGGCTTCCCTCCTCCATCCCCAGGATGCACACAGACCTCCAGCTCTGAGGCTGCTCTTCCAGCCTTGAAGCCACAATCAGCAAAGCCCTTTCCATGCTTACTGCAAACTTGAGGCTCTAGCTCTGACCGTGGAGCATGATCCTGAGCTTGAAGCTAGGAACTTCTCTCTCCTGTGACCAGAAACCACAGGATTGTCCCCCAAGGCTACAGACCAGTTCCAGTGCGTAACTGTGTAACAAGTTCCTCCGATTGGAAATCTGGAGTGTGAAACAGAAGTTGCAGAAGCCCACACACGTGCCTTTTCCTTAAACTATTATGATGCTAAAGCAAGAATGACAAAACCTAAAATCATCAAAAACAAAATTTTAAGAGTTCTGCAACTGGAACGATGTCTCAACAGAAATCAATGATTTAAAAATGGTTAGGAAGAAAAGCAGAATGCATTCCTGTGGACATTAGGATGGAAAGATTTTCAGTTTCCACGTGTACACACACCAGGTTTTTTTTGGGGGGGGGTGCAGAGGAAGATTCACCTTTTTTGGCCTCTCTATTAAACTCAGTGGCCCCACTGCACTATTTCCATATGACACCATTTCACTGTATTACTAGTAAGCCCATCTGGCGCCTGCAGGGCTAAATGCAGGCAACTTAAAATCACCGTGGAGGGAGAAAGCAGCACCAGCTATGTTCAGAATGAGATTGCTGGCCCATCCTGCCCAGAGGTGTCCATTGCTGCTCCCATCAGGCTCTGCACTGGAGTGGGGGCCACATACCCCCCCCCCATAAGAAGAGGTGCTTAGAGCTGACCTTGCCATCTCCAACATGCAAACTACGCCTCTTTTCTCTCCTTGCCTGCCAACACACACACTGAGCTTCCTGAAAGCAAGGCAGATACTTAGGAGTCCCAGAAATGGTACAGGCTGTTAATGAAATATCTGACACATGGGGCAGGGGGAACCATATCTGAAATAAATGCCACCATTTAAAAAGGATTAGTGGGGTCACCAGTCAATATTCCCACCAAACTCAGGTTCATTAATAGTATGGGATTTCCTGATTCCAGTTGATTAAAATAATTTCAGCTAAGGATTATCTGACTAAACAAAACCTAGCCAAGCCTTCTGGCATAATCTGCTTTCTTTTCACAGGGACAGAATGTTAATTTGTGAAGAAGTTTTAAGGGATTATTAGTGATTATTTAGCTGCTATCACACATCTGGTACCCCGTGGTCATCTGTTCTTTTAACACTGAATGATACTTGTCCAAGGGTCCTAGAAATACATCCTCCGCATAAATAAATAGGAACCTGGATTGTGCAAGAGGGGCTTCCGAAGAGGAAGGTTCAATGTTTATGGAGAATGTGCTGTTTCAATTTATGTGTCTGTCTCATTCAGGAACAGAACAGTTGAAAAGGGCATGTCATACTAACATGCATTTCCAGGTGGAGAAATGGCAACTGAAAACAGCAAACAAAATGGTGGTGGTTTTATGAGGTGTCATATTAATTCTCCTTTCTGAATTTTACATGGATTGGCCAAACATGGCTCCCCCTTTGGCGCCTGCCAATTGTAAGGTGGCAAAATTTTATCTTGGACTTAAACTGGATCCATGTATGGGGAAGTAGGGATGCACAAATAGCTTCATTTCCATTTTAATTTTAATGGGTCTCTTCTGCACCTCCAAACAGGATCACGAAATATGAGTGCACCTTTTCAGAAAAAACTTGCATGCACCTAGATTTAACGTGCGTACAAAGAAGAAGCACTTTAAAAATATTTTTTCTTCAGGCTTTAGCCTACAGGCAGAAAGTATTTAAACATGCACACTCTCTCTATTTAAATGGAAAGACAAATGGATCACAACCAAACGTGGGAGTGAGCTGATCCAAGGTGTAAGGTGGATTTTGAAGGATAAGCTTAACTGCCCCAATTCTTCCAACTCAGGTAGTATCTAGATTTTTTCCCAAGGACTCTCAGACTCTGGAGCTAGCACCTCCTGGTTCAGACCTAGTTGTCATCCAAGCCCAAATACTAGTACTGAACATATCCCTTTAACCCAAAAGATGTTAATGATCTAAAGATGCTGCCCACTTATGCATCTTGCTACCTCCAAGAGCAATGCAGCTGCATCAACTCTTCTAGAAGAAGAAGAAAAAAAAAACAGGGACAGCCATCTCAAGGATGTGATGCCTGGTCTGTGCTAGGGAATTGGATTGAAGCTGACAGGTACCAAATTTGGCTGTTCTGACTGTCTGGCAGCAATGCGAGAGTCTGGCAGATCTACCTATGCCTCTAGGCCATTTCCCCACAGTTTCTATGGCATTGCTAAGCCTCAAAATGTGTCCCCTGGAAACAGCTCTCTATTTAACATCCAGCTTTTAGTCTGATGGCATCTTTCAGAGCTTTGGGGCTTGTGCTTTGTGTATGAATGACATTCCGGGCCTTGGCTGCAGTACCTAGAGTCTACTGCAGTGCTAAACTGTCCTTGCCTGTCTGTACGCAGTGGCCAAAGGTAATTTTCTAGATGTCAGGAGAAACAGGGGGATAAGAATAAGATTCCTCCAGCATTGCACATGGGCACAGCGCATCACACACTGGCACAAATGCTGCAGAGCAAGGGCTCTCAGATGCACATGAGAATTCCATGTGTGGGACATGAGAGCAACAGCAATTCCCACTTCTGTTTTCCAGCAACTGGTCACCCAGAAAACTTTGTCTCTGAGTCTGGGGGAGGCTTGCAGCCATCAGGACCAAAAGCTAGGGGTGGACAGATGTGTTGATTCCAGTTAAGTCTAAGAAGGACAGTGCTGGATCAGACCAAAGGTCCAGCTCACCCAATGTGGCCAAGCAACTGTCCAGGGGATTGCACAAAAACTGCCCAAGTTCCCCAGCAACTGGGGTACACAGGCACACTGCCTCTGATGCAGGATGCAGCCCACAACCGTCAGGACTAGGAGCTTTCTCCTCCATGAATTTGTCCAATCACCTTTAAGAGCTCTCCAAATAGGTGGCCTGCACTGCCTCTGGTGGAAATCAGTACCATATTTCAACTCTGCACTGCATGGAGCAGTTTCTGTTTGCATGGAAATCCATCAGCAGTTCTGTGTATCCTTCCTGTTTGCTTTTCAGGTTGCCACTGCACATGCGTGGGCAGCCTGGCCATGATTTTGCATCCTTCAACTTGCTCTATGTTTTCACACATTCCAGGAATTGTGTGTGTTGAAACAAGGACACCGCACAAATGGTAGGAAAAAACTGGCAGTGGCCAAGAAAGGGGAGGGAAAGAAAGAAAGGCAGAGAATGTTTATGTATACACATATTTTTCTTCCTATTTTATACCTCAACATTGCTCTGCAGCCCCCCAGGCTGCCTGCACTTCCTGCACTGAAGAAGTGGTATCAAGGGGCTCATGATAGCATAAAAAACCCCCCATACCCTCCTTTCATCACAACCAGCAAAAAAATGAGATGGATGGACTCCATGGAGGAAGCCCCAACCTTGAATTTGCAGCAGCTGAGCAGGGCTGGCACGGATAGGACATTCTGGAGATCTTTCAATCATAGAATTGTCTTTGCTGGACTTGACCTGATAGCACGTGGCAACAACATCACAACTTCCTTGTGGGGAAGATCAGAACTTGCCCTTAGTGAGTTCTATAGATAGGGTCTAGGTTTGCCCACTCTGAATCCAACACTTTGCTCTCCCCACAAACACTTGTGCATGGAAACAAACATCTCCTTCAACGCCATCCACTTCCTTGTGATGTTCTTGAGATGGTTGCTGCAAACAAAATTCAAGGAACGCATGCAATTCAGCCATCGTGAACGAACACATCTGGGGTTTACAGAGAGCCTTTGATTTTGTCAGACGATCCCTAGTTGACAAAGAACAATAATGTGCCACTCACCCTCATGCCAAGTTCTATGTTCTCTCCTCCATAAACCTCCATGCCAGGGTCAAGCAGACCAATCTCGCCAAAGTACTCTCTGTCCACCACAAATGAGCAGCCGATCATGGCTGGCGTCCTGTTGATGGGGAGGAACAAAGGGAGAGACAAAGGCTTCAAATGATAGACCTTTGGAATTGAAAGGACATCACCACACCTTGTTCATTCGTTCGTTCGTTCATCCGTTCGTTCATTCATGAGTGGGACAGACACTCCCTCTCTGCTTTCTTTTCAAGGAACCTGTGTCATCGGATTCTGAATAGGAGGACACTGCAGAAGAGGTGATAGGAAAGCAGAAAGATCCATGTGGGGCGGGAGGTTGCTGCCCCAGTGTCCCAGGCTGACTGTGGGAGCAGACATGTTTTAGAAAAGATGGGGCCCAGGAGACAAGAAAGAGCCATGGCCTTGCCTGCTCCCCGACCCTGTGGCGAGGCACTGGGAGGGACAAGCTACCCAGTTCGAGGTCTTGCGTAGGTCTTGCGGTCTGGCTCTCCGCCAGCCTGAGCCATCCTGGCAGTTTGGGCCAAGTGCTCTTTCCATGAGCAGAGGCTTATCGTTCAGTTTGCTAGAGAGCTTCTAGAGTTGCATCATCTTATTGGCTGTAAAGTGCCAACAACTTCTGCCTTGTAAAGGACTGTCTTGGAGCCTGGGGCAAGGAAGGGAGGGTCTAGCTCAGAACACATCCATCCACCCATCCATCTGGTTGTTTCTGAATACAGTTTCTTTTCCAGGGACATGGAAGGAAATAGTAAAGGAAAAAAATAAGATGAAAACAAGACTCAGACCTGATTCTCAGCATAGTATTTGTGCTGGATTTACCGTTAGAAATGGGTGAGTGAGCTTTGCCACTTGCAAAGGCTCTTTTTACATGCCAGAGCTTGTTGCACCTTGTTCTTGCTCCTGAACATGAACATCTTTTTTCCTCCTTCTTCCCAAACAGGAAAAAATATGCCTTTTCAAACAGCAAATGTGCATTGTTACAAGTCTGCACCTGAACGCACACGTCCCCATTGATTAAAGTGTCCTAAACATGAATCCTTGAATGAACGGCACACTTTTAAAGTCAGAATCTTCTCAAAAATTGTGCAAAGGCAAAATCAAGCTTGGGAATGTGCAAAGTTTCTCCCCGATCACAGCCACACTGCTGCTCATGGTTCTGAGTCAGGCATTTGGGGACAGCATGTCTTGGACAGCAAAAGTTATTTGCTTGGATTTCCCAACACCAGATCAACCTAAAGGCCTAGCTGGTCCAGCATTCTGTTCCTCCATCAGCCAAGCTCACAGGCAAACCAAAAGCACACAAGAACTGCGCTTTGTTCATGGTCCCTGAAACTGGTGGGGTTCCCATTTGGGGGACTGGATGCCATTGGTCAGAAGGGAGAACTGCAAAACTCTAACACAACCCTTAGAAACTGGCAGTCGTGAACCAAAACCAAAATAGAGTAGAATTCCATTACTACTCTATTTGCCCAGTGTTGACTATAAAACTTCCCCTAATGATATTTAATAGTGTCTTGCAAGTAAGACCAACAGAAAGATCAGTTTTCTTACCAAGGAAACAACATTGCAGGAATGTGCAACAAGCATCCCCATCTTTTTGCTTAATCATAAACAAACAAATAAAAAATAAAAGATGAAATGGAGAGCTGATAAATTGGCATAGAGTTCCCTGCCAAGTCTATTGTTGCTCATAAGGGTTTTTTTTTTTTTTTAAAGAGCAACATATTAAAATAAACACCATTGCTTCCAAAAGGGAGTTGCAATCTGGCCTGTTGGCTCATCTGATATTTTTAAGTATTTGATTCCCTTTTGCCTGTCCTGTGTTTGGATACTCAGAAAGCTGGGGTGGGGGTGCGGGGGGCAATCCAAAAGTGTAATTGGAATTAACTGAACTACTCACTTGCAGCTGCCTGACTCATTGATTCCAATAGATTTATCTCCAACTTTGCCTGGATTGTGGCTTGTCATTCCACAACATGAGACTATTATTGAAGGCTGACGATGCCAATTACTATCACTTTAAGGTTGGGAAAAAATCTGTTTGACTTTCTGTAATGTTCACTGTTTGTGAAGCACATGTTCTTTCCATCCCATTAGTGCTTCTAATGGCTTTTTAAGTCTGCATGAAAATTGATATGCAGTTTTGCACACAATTTCCTATAATATATGATTTTTTTTCCACAGTCAAATTCTCCAGATGGATGCCCTTTCATATACAATTATCCCTCACACACACATTTCCGTATGCAAGTCTCGCTAATGGGTGGATTTTTGCATCTGTATTATGGATCACAGGTTAGGATGAGAATGGAGAATTAGCCCCCAAGCGACCTGTGAGCATCATGGCTGAATGGGGACTAGAACCCACATCTCCTGAGTCCCAGTCCAATACTCTAACCAGTCTGCTACACTGAGCATTAACAGCATTCTGGTCACTGATCATTAAGGCATGAGCTTCCATAATTGATGCCCCCTGACACTTGCTCATTGTCTCTCTGTGGCCCACCCCTGCCGATATCATATGAACCCATCTTCACTGCCCTTTCATGATAACCTCAGCCTGGCTTCCCTGTTTACAAGGGTGCTGGGACAGAGTTCCAAGGATCCAAACAGGATTGAGTCCACAAGAACCCAGACTGAGTCAGCAGGCAAACCAAGGTCAGTTGGCAGTCCCAAGACAAACAGGGTGATCCAAAGAAGAGCTAAGATAGCAGGGAAGAACCCAACGTGAAGCTGGTACCCGAACATTGTAATGACTGACTACTGAAGGATTCTAAGCCTGGAGATTCAGAGTCTACCTGGAGAACAGCTGCATTGATGCCATGCAGGGAAGGGCCTAACCAAGGGGATACACTGACCTACAAGGAGTCCATATTCCTCAGGTGAGCAGGCACACACCTGTACCAGCCTGAGTCTGGGTCTCTGCAGTACCAGTCCAACACTGTAACCAGCAGCTGCGGAAGGCAAAGAGGAAACTGCTAAGGCAACACTCCAGGGCAACAGAAATGCAAAAGACGACGGCCCTGGACAGCAGGCTAACTATGAGCCAACAGTGCAATGCAGCTGCAAAAAAGGCAGGCGCTATTTGGGGATACATTAATAGAAGCATTACTTCCAAATCATGAGAAGTAGTTCCCCTCTACTCCTCACTAGTCAGACCTCATCTGGAATCCTGTGTCCAGTTCTGGGCATCAAGACTTAATAAAGATGCAGACACATTAGAAAGGGTCCAGAGGAGGGTCCGGTTTGGAAACACTGCCCTGTGAGGAGAGAATGAGAGAACTGGGAATGTTCAGCCTTGAGAAGAGAAGACGGGGGGGGGGGGGACACATGGTATCCCTCTAGAAGTAGTTCAAAGGATGTCACAAAGAGGAAGGTCAAGATCTCTTCTTGCTAATGCCAGAGTGTAGGGCAGGGAATGATCAGTTCAAGTTGTGACAACCCAGATTCAGGCTGGACATCAGGAAAAGCATCCTTATTGTCAGAGCAATAGGACAGTGGAACCAGCTGCCTGGAGAGGTGGTGGGCTCTCCCATGCTAGAGACATTCAAGGTGAAACTGGACGGCCATCTGAGTGGGATGGTGTAAACTGACATCCTGCAACAGCAAGGGTTGGACCTGATGGTCTTCATGGCCGCTTCTAATCTACCAGTATTCTATGAAGCATCAACCATACATCACCTCTAAGCTGCTTTCTTCTCCCATCAATACTCTACATCCTCCAACTCTGCTGTATTGTGTAAATTACTCAAAATGAAGGAAGAATGGTGTTAAAAACTAACTTCCTGTCCTCTGACTTCTCAGTATGGTGGTCCTGATTGGAGCTGGCACAACTCCAGTATGGAGGGCTGGCATTAAAAACCCCCAAATGTGTCCCATGCAGTTTTGCCCCAAGACAGAGCATTTAATAGCAAAAGCCCATGAAAAACAGATTCTTCTCAGTGCAATGAGGAAACAAAAGCTAGGATCTTAACAAGCCTTTTAATTATAATATGCAAATAGGTGGTTGAATGCAGCCTAATTTGCAGACTGAAGTATGAAAGATCATGTTTTTAGATAAAAGTGACTCTCTAATGACTGGAATTTAAACTGAGTTCATTCCTGCAGAAATTATTCCCTTCTGTATGGTTGATTTTCAAATAGATTTGTCTAGGCCTACTTTTCCACCCACCCACACAAACCATCCCCACCAGAACTAGAAGAAAATTGTGCACACTTAGCCAACATATTGGAAAGCTTTGGAACCTGAAAGGTTTGCCTTTTGTTTTTGAAATGCGATTCTGACAGGTTCACAGAGCCATATGGGTTGGAAGGGATCCTGAGGATTACCTAGTCCAATCCCTTGTTAATTGAAGGCTTGGTACCACAGGGAAAACCTACCACCTCCTGGCTGAATAACCACCCAGCTTCTGCTAAAATATCTCTAATGAAGGAAAGCCCACCACCTTTCTAGACAATCTGTTCCACTGTAGAACAATTCTAGGCATTTGATAGCTTAGGGTTTTTTTTAATTGACTTTGGTGGCATTTTTGAGCTTCATCCTCGAGAGATGGCCAAGAATGCAATGCATGTTTGAATGTTTATTTGTGTGCACATATTCTCTTTCTATGATATATATCACCATCGCTCTGCAGCCTCCCAGGCTGCCTGCACTCCCTGCCCTGACCTTGCCCTACAGCAGGAATTACCTGATGAAGTCTCCCCTGGGCTTTAAGCTTGCAGTGTGGGAAGCCAAGGTGGCTACAGGCTGCCAGAGACAATGAAAGGTACCACACGCACTCACACTCCTCAGCCATCTCAGAAGGTAAACACAACAACCCAAGTCCAGCTCAAGACAGTTTCTCCAAATTGTTGTTCTCTGCATTCCATTCCCACAGCAAACAGGGAGCAAAGAGCTGAAAAGTCTGCTTTAAGTAAATTTTGGGGTGAGGGTTACCCAGGTAGAACAACCGAAAACTGAGCTGAGGATTTGTGTACTTCTTCAGCAAGTTCGCTTTAAAGTTTTCTGCCATTTCCACATAATATATCGATCCAGCCTTGCTACAAAGATGAACATTACAGGCAGATCAATTTCAGTGTACAAGCTGGCTAATTACAAAATTTGGCAGCATCATTCATTTGTGGTCCTTCTCAGTTCTCAAGCTGAAGCAACCAGTGCTGCTCTTGTTTGATAGGGGAGGCATGGGAGTAGATGGATCATGCGTATGATCCATCCTGATGGATCTTGTCTCCCTTCATGCACTAATCTAATCTGACAATTCGGAGGAAGAAAACATCGGCCTGCCATCTGTCTCTTTCGCTGCTGTAACACAGGTAAGGGCTTTATTTCCCAGTTGGCTTTGCAGAGGGGGAGAGAAAAAAGGATTCTTCTTAGAATCAAAGCAAGGGGAAGCCGCACCAGTGCTTTTTAAGTCAAGAGGATGACAGGAGTGCCAGGCGACACATGCCTCTAATGCACATCAAAACCCACACTTTTCTCAGCCCATTGAAGCGCAACTCTTGTGGAAGTGGGGGCTGGAGAGACGGAAGGAATGGCCTTTCCCTGCACATTCATTTCGATACATTAGCGCATCAGCACACCGGCCGTGAAGCAATGGGTGTCTCCTTGACAGGGGCTTCACCTGCCTCCTTCCACAGTATATTAAGCAATCAGCAAGAAACGTATGTGCTGCTTTAACCAGCTCCTGCTGGTACGAGGAGATAAAACTCAGGGCAGGGACGAGCCTGGTGGGAGATGGGTGACTAATGCCTCCGGGAACTGCTGATAATGAAGTGCCGCAGAGCAGTCCATCAACAGGCGAAGCAGGGGAGCAGGAAAGGAGCCGGCCTGCTGGGCAACATTCTTTTTCCTGGGGTTTTCATAGAGGATGTCCTGGGTCCCATTAGACATGTAGAGCCAGCGAAACACACGGGGCTGAAGGCAGTCCTGAGTAATGCTCACCCCATGGATCCCAGTGGATCCACTTGACTGAGGCCGGATCCAACTCAATGGTGCCAGTTTTGCACACTGGCTCTGGGAATGGCAGCATTCATCTCCTCACCTCAGAGCATGGAGGACGTCCAGGGCCCAGGCCTGGACATCAAAAGCAAAGGCGGGAGGTGCTCATGTTGAGGTGGTGCCATGTGCCACTTCAAGAGGGGTTTGGTGCCTGGCAAGCTTGGAGGAAGGAGGAGACCTGATCCTCATGCCTCCATAAGCAGAGAAAGATGCTGAAGGGCTAGTGAAGGCAGGCAGAGAATGATGCCAGAATCGGGCACCAAGGTTTAAGAAACATTAGAAAGGGTCCAGAGGAAGGCAGCAAAAATGACCCAGGGTTTGGAAACACTGCCCTGTGAGGAGAGACTGAGGGAACTGGGCATGTTCAACCCTGAGAAGACTGAGGAGGAACATGGTATCCCTCTAGAAGTACCTCAAATGAAGAGGAAGATCAAGATCTCTTCTCAATAATACCAGAGTGTAGAACACAGAATAATCCATTCAAGTGGCAACAACCCAGATTCAGGCTGGACATTAGGAAAAGCTTCCTCACTGTCAGAGCAATTGGACAGTGGAACTAGCTGCCTAGAGAGGTGGTGGGCTCTCCCACACTGGAGACATTCAGGGTGAAACTGGACAGCCCTCTGAGTGGGATGGTGAAACATGGCGTCCTGCAACAGCAGGGGGTTGGACCTGATGGCCTTCATGGCCCCTTCCAACTCCACTGTTCTAGGATTCTGTTCTGCCCTGACTTGCTTACAGTGCCTCAAGCTGGAATTCTGCACTTGTCTAACCTCTGGGGATATGGAACAGCAGCTGGATGGTGGGCAAAGGTTTCCAAGGAGGGCTTGGCAGGAGAGGTGGCATTCCCTCATCCTGTGTTAGCCCCCTCTGGAAGCAGCCATGGAATGGCCCACAGAAATGCCCAGCAATTCTAGGAAGAAAGCTGCATTATTGCGAGAGAGATTGTGGGGCAGGGGAAGGGGGAGGGTTTGTCACTTGGGGTGTCTCAAAAGGGAGGGGGAAGGAACTCCCACCCTCTATGCCCCTAATTGCAAGTTCACCTCCAACATTTCGACCACCTTCCATCTCTTACTAAAGATGAACAGCCCCTGCCGTGAACGAGTTGGCGATGCTTTCTGTCTCTGCTGTACTTTGCAGAGAGTCCATGTAAGCTTCCTTCAAAACCACCTTCATCTACACCAAGCACTAAAACGAGGCCATGGGTCTCTGCCTCGAGGAGCCTACAATCTGAAATTCAAAACAGAGAAGGCAACAGAAGTGGGGAAGATGGTGGGGATGAGTAAGCAAGAAATTGAATTCTGCAGCAATATTCAGCTTCACAGCAAGGAGGCATGTGAACCTGGGAAAAGAGAGGAAGCAAAATGCATGATTTCTGAAACTGAAGCGTAAGTGGATATGTTTTCCTCCCACCTTTCTGCCATCCTGGGAATCAATAGCAAAACGGAGTGAATGTATGTGGTGACAATGAAATATCGGCTGCCTTTTGAAAGGGGAAAGAGGAAAGTGGGCCAGGTTTATCAAGGAGCATTAAGATTTCGCAAGCAATTACCTGTCTGCATATTGAGGCTTCACAAAGAGCAGAAGGTCCCCGATAAGAGGCAGACACTGCTCCACGATAAATAAGCGAATGCCACCTTGTCCCTCTGTCTGGCAGCGATAAGAGGAAATGTGTGGCTTAGATCCATTTGCATCTTTTATGAACCTGTGCTTGGGCTCGGAGCCGACTCTGATGATGGGGTGTGCAGGAGGGGTTGAAGGGGAAGTGTGTATTATGGAGTTTTTCCAGTTCGGACTCGAGGTAAGGGTGAATGTAGTCAAAGATGGGTTCTAGCATGCAAAACACAGATACTGGGGCAGGGGGGGGGGGATGGCGGGGGAGCTCCAACGCTTTCCCCTGCCTCTCCCTGCTCCACCCTGCTGGCTGGTACCAAGTTGTGGGTTCCTGACAAAGCAAGGAAAAGCAGCATCTCAACCCACCACCTCACAATTCCTCCTTTTCACAACCAAAGCAAGCTATCAAACTGTGAGTCTGCTCTGGGGAGTGTGACATTTGACCCCCCCCCCCACACACACACACCATGGATGAAGAACTTAAGAGCTGGACGAAAACAATTGAGATCAACAGATCTCACGCATGTTCACTCCTGAATGTTTCATTCTTGCCTACATCATGATGGAGCAAGCACAGCAGTCAGACAATTCAGGCCCTGATCATTGTTGCAATCCTGAAAACACCCCAAAAATAGTGGAGCTGTGCTTCCTAGCCACTCCACCATCATGCTGAGAAAGCCTCTTTTAGAAGAAAAAGAACAAGAGCAGACAAGGAAGAAGAATGCAAGAAAATGAGTAATTGCTATTATCCAAACCCAAAACAAAGCTGCAAAACAAAGCCTTCGGGTTAGGGTCTTGCATTTAGCACTGGACTCCAGTTTCTACAAGTGCACAGTAAAATACGGAGTTCTCCAAGTCAGAACAAATACTGGGCTACATGCAACAATGATTTGACAGGCAACTTCCTATGCTCTGATGCAATACACTTGAAACATCACACCTGTGGTGTGGGTGAGTCAACTTGTGGGTCGAAAGGATCTCCATGCCTGCAGTACCACCTTACAGATGGTTGCTATGGATACAGCAGCCTCCGGCTAAGCAGATGAGGTGGCTTGAGGCCCCAGATCGCTTCCCTCTGCCTTTACCGACCTGTTGCCTCAGCCTGGGTGGACAGTACGGGTGGATTTGCAGCAGGTTCTCTAGACCACCTGCCCAAACCTCCTGAGCTGCTGATCTGCCTCTCGGGCTTGGGGGGCTAGTCCTGGCACCAAACACACATTCCCCGCCCGCCTACATTAATCTTGAAGGGGCATCTAGTGCTTACCCTCAGAAAAGGGGCCCTTTCTCTCCCCAGCAGCTTCACATGTGCAAGCACCCCCTTTGCAGCTGATGGACGAGGGGTGCATGAGACCCCCTGCTGTTCCGTGGAGGTCCTGAGAAAGGCTAACAGTGATGTTCCTGGCACACCCGCCCCCACCACAACCACACACAGCGCGGGTTGCTCTGCGACTGGAAGGATTGGGTAGCTTTGGCTCACATTTATGCTTTCCGTTGGGATGGTCCCTGCACAATTCCTCCCAAAGAGGGGATCCGTGCCACACGAGCAGCACCCGGAAAAGGGGTGGGCGAGCTGCAGCCCCGGGGCCGTTCAGAGCCTAACCATCCCCCACGATCATCTCAGACTTCCAGCAAGCTCTGGCAAGGCCAAGCGAGTGAGTGAATGAGGGGTGGCAGAAAGAGAAAGGGAGTAGCATAGAGAGAGAAAGGGAGCAGCATAAAGGGAGAGAATTGGCAGAAACTGAGACGCCCAGGTGCAAAAAGAAGCACAACTGGCCCCTTTGCCTTGGTTCATGGATATGCAGCTCCCAGCAGACCAGTCCTGGGAGAACGTGGTCTTCAATAACAGGGAAGAAAGGAGAAAGAGAGGCGTTTCTATCCCCCGTCGAGTAAGGGATAGAAATGAAGCTTTCCAGGGCACACCTCAATGCATCGTTTCATGAAACTGCTTTTGGGAGTCACGGAGCTCAGCACGGCAAGTCAGGAACATGCAGCCACAAAGGAGGTTCACCTGATAGGTGCCGACTCGTCCCCCTTGTCCAGCCAGTCCTGAGGTGGGATTATGTACATGCACCAGAGGCCCCAGTTGTAGCCGTGGGCTGCGTTGGCATACTGCTGCACCTCGAAAGTGTTGTACTTAATGTTGTCAATAGCCGGAAGAATGATCCGCTTCCTGTCCTCTTTGATCCGCGTAAGCGCTGGTTCTACCCTGTAAAGAGAGCCATAATTAAAGTTCGCAGCTAGGCTGGGGAGCTTCCCGGGGAACCCACTAACAGGGCAGTTCCTGACTCCTGAAAGCTTCATCCTGCACGCTGGGACCCTTGGCTTATATTTTGCTATATAATTCACACATAAACCTACACTCTAGTTCTTCTTGAATACTGTCAAACGCAGGCTCATATAATGGCCCCACATTTCAGCTTCCGCCCTTGTACCATTTTCTTTCTACACAACATGTCCCAAAACGTGCATTAAAAAGTTCTGTGGGAGTCTTTTAATTTACTTTTATTAGTTGAAACCTAAAATCCATTCATATGCCAATCCAAACCTCCTGGGAAACATGCAGCATTTTCCTTGCCTGAGGCAGATTCATCTGGGTCATAAAATGACCCCAAATGCAACTAATGTTAGGTCTGAAATTGATACTGGATTAACGTCCATAAAAATGGGGGTTTTTTTTATCAGGGTGAGTTGCCTGAACCATATGTGGTTAGAAGTTTGAATTTGTTAACAGCCCTGGCCAAGTGACCCTTTGGGGACAATGGTTTATGACAGTAAATGATCTTAAGGAAATATTCACAACAAATAATCTGGAGACAAAGTCATTTGGACAAGGTGCATGCCATTTTTCTTCCACCTCCACACTATGGGGAAGACTTCACCAAGGTTTGCACATGAAGACCGTGTTATTTCGGTGAAAAGAAAGCTGAGAAAAGAGTAGGCAGTTGATAATCTTCTCTGTAGGAAATTCAGGATGCCAGCTCTTCACTTCAAAATCTGGTGTGTTTGGAAGCATAATGTTGGGAAGCAAGTTGGAGCATTAAAACTGGACATTTGACTTGTTTCTCTGTAAATATCAAAACCACACAAGCACGGGGCCAATTTTGTGCTGAGCTCAGTGGGCTTTTTTGTCCGTGGCGATTTCCTCTTGATTTTAAAGGCTCTAATGGTTCAGCATTCATAGAAGTCCTTGCTGGGTAAGTTGGCTATTCCATAATTGTGTGTGTGTGTGGAGGGGGGGGGATCACACATGTTGTGTGGGGCTTAGAACCAGGTCACAAATGCTGGTCAACATACGTGACCTACCTGGAGATGAACCATAAAGTAATAAGTGTGACACCATCTCTGTTTCAAAAAGGGCCTGCAGAAGATGGTGTCAGGATAACCTCAAGATATTTGAAGCATGTCCAGAGGAGTGTGACCTGGATGGTGAAGGTTTTGGAAACCTGGATCCTATGAGGAAGAGAACTAGCTGAGTTCAGAGCGGAGAGGAGAACATTAGTTGTCCTAGAAGGAGTCACATCTTCACCCGCCTAGCTCTGCAGTGACAATCATTTGATTTCCAGGTGGAAAACCAGTGCCCCGACACTCGTTTTGCTTTCCCTGACACTATAACATTCCCCTCCCAATTCGATCTTGAATATATCCAAGAAGTCTCCCCTTAGCAAAGTTACAAAAAGCAGATGGAAGAGATTCAAGAAACACCATCTATTCCTATGGACAGAGAGGTTGATCTTTCATTTCACATGTGTCATTCACTCAAAATGTCACCACTCATAAGCCTAAATGTGCAAATGAATCTGAGCACATATTCTCTAAAAACCTTCACATATTCTCCAATTTTTTCACAGATTCCAACATTTTTGCTTGCATTGCAAAATGTGCACTCAAAAACACATATAATACAGAAATGCTTTGCATCTGAACAGCAGCCAAGAATGAGAGCAAGAGCAAACCATGCTAAGCTTTGAAGTTCAGATAATTTCACTGAGTCTGAGCTATCCTGGCTTTCTCATTCCTAATCCTATGAAATGTCTGGAATGGGCACTGGTTCTTGGTTAATTAGATTGGGGTTCTGGTCAACTGCAGGCTAAACATGAGTCAGCAATGTGATGCGATGGTCAAGAAGGCGAACACCACCCTTGGCTGCATAGCCAAAAGTGTGGCTTCTAGATCAAGAGAGGTATTACTACCACTCTATATGACTCTGGTGCACCTGCAACTGGAGTACTGTGCTCAGTTTTGGGCCCCTCATCACAGGAAGGATATAGCCGGATTAGAGGCAGTGCAGCGTAGGGCCACAAGGTTGGTGGCCGGTTTGCAGGGGACAGGGTATGAGGTGAGACGGAGGGAACTGGGTCTCTTCAGCCTGGAGAAGAGGAGACTCAGAGGGGATCTGTTGGCGACATACAGGTATGTGAGGGGATGTCACATGGAGATGGGGAGAGACCTGTTCTCCCCTGCAGAGGAAGGCAGGACGCGCTCCAACAGAGCAAAGCTCAGGGAGCCAAGGTTCCATCTGGATGCCAGGAAGCACTTCCTGACAGTTAGGACCTTGAGGGTGTGGAATGGGCTTCCACGGGAGGTGGTTGAGGCCCCATCCGTGAGGGTGTTCAAGGATAGGCTGGACGTGCACATGGTGGGCATGTTGTGAGCGGAGTCGGCTGGTGCCGGAGGTCAGACTTGATGGCCTGGGAGGCCCCTTCTGACTCGCTCTGTTTCTATGTTTCTATGTTGTGCATATGCACACATGCATGAGGGACATGAGAATTTCACTCTTGCTCACGAAATGTGAGCACGCTCTGTTTGAAGACCCAAATGCAATTCCACGGACACACCCACCAAAAGTGTTTGCAGATCACTGGGTATGTTGTGGCATTTGATTCACACAACTGTGCCAGTTTGATTTTGTGTAGATCACTCATCTACACCGATCACCAAGACACAACGGAAGAAAAGGATTATGGGTAGTGGTAAGGGACATTTAAGTCTACTTGGAGGAGTTGTGGCAGATAAATGATGAAAATTCTAGCAACTAATATTTTAAAAGAAATAATTCCCACATAAACAGAGCTTTCCCAGGATGTATGATGCCAAATAAAGAAGTGTCTGATAAGATACCTGAAATATGTAGGCAGAATATTGTTCAAATTCCCCAAAGACCAGAATATGTTTGGCTTCTATTTCCCCTCCAATGTTGTTCAGATAATAGACACCTGGCCAGCTTTACCTTATTTAGGTCTCCACAGTACATTAGTCGAAAGGTGACAGTTGCGGAACCTTAAGTTCATTTATATTGCCTCGAGAGAATGCGGCCCGGCAAACCAGATGCAAAACAAAATCAAGGCAAACACACACACACCGCAGCTTGTGCTATTTAGAAAAGATTAGAGTTATGAGATCCTCATCCTTTGAAGGATGGCAAGGGAGTTCTGCAGAGAGGCTCTGGACATACTCCAAGAAAGCAAACACACAATTTGGCAGAAGGTACCTTTTTCTTGTCACTTCTTCAGCAAGACAGCTTGTTATGCTACAGGCAATCAGTGGAAACACGGAGGAATAAAGCCCCCCAAGCGCCAGAGTTGTCATTCCCCCAGCCGTGGTCGATGATGCCCATGTCTCCATTCTAGCAGAAAGAAGGGGGATGCTCTCTGGGGGACACATGCATCCATGCATGCGCAGGTGAGCATGTAAGCACATGCTTCTGCCTTGAGCATCAAGGACCTGAATAGCAACCAGCAGACAGAGGTGGCATTAATGACACACCACGGATGTGTTTACTTTGAGCAGAAGGCCCCGGTTGTTGCGACTTGCTTGTCGGGGGAGCAGTGGGTGGGGAGAAGTCACCCCAGGGTATTTCATTGCCAAGTGACAGCCACCGGCGGGATGAATTCTCTGAGGCTGACACCGATGCTACAGGTTGGACAGACTTTGCTTATCATGTCTTTGCAGAAATTTCCACTGGAGAACCGCACAGATAACTAGCATGGTGGATCTGCTGAGTATCTTCAGAGCACAGCCGCTTGAAAAGAAAGGGAGGCATCGAAGCAATAATAATGCTTAGCGTATTAATTGTGTCTGCCTTCCCAGACACAAAGAAGGCAAAAGCTCCTGCTGCCAAGTGCCAATCAAACTCCAGGCCAAAATGGCCCTCCTTGACAAGTGACCAGCAATGCTATTCTGATAGAAGGCAGAAAAGGAGGGAGCGAGAAAGCCAGAAATTCAGGAGGTGGAGGGCAGAACTCCTTCAACTAATATCTCGTAAGTTCCAGTCTAGGCATACACAGTCTTGTCCCTCCAGCCCCCTCCATCAAGAGGAGACCACCAGGGGGTCTATCAGGTGCTACTCCTATGACTCAGCAGTGAGTCCTGCTGAGCTCAGATGGGCTTGCTTTTAAATAGATTCGTACAGGCCAGCGCTGTGAGAACCCTTTTAAAATGTGCACTGGAGGGGAAGATCTTCTCACATTTTAGCCCATGAGGGTTTATGCAGATTTTAAATGCATGCTTCCCATTTGAACAAGATTCAGGAATGGGAAGAAGACAGACAGAGCTTCATGCAGGACATCTTAGGGCCATGACAAGTTCTAGTCTTGCTGATATCCTCAACTCCACGCATTAGCTTTGCTTCCTACCACTTTCAGTTTGCGATAGTTTTCTTTTTCTCTCCCAGCCAGGAAGAATGTTTAAGGTTGGTAAATTCTGATTCCAAATATGCTGAAAAGGAAACTCTCAGTCACATGCCTGCCTTTTGTAATGTGTACTATACATACATAAAAGAGCCCAGTTATTGTCTCAATGAACCACCCTGGAAGATTACAGGAAAACACTTGTACTCCAAGGATGTATTTTCCATGATTTCTGGCCCTTTAAGGCATAGCCCTTCCTGATGCATCAGATCGCAACCCCCCTTAGCCCCACCCATCCTATTTCACGGCCAGAAATGTTGGAGTCAACTTCCACAACCTCCACAGAACCTCACATCATCTGGCCCTGCTTTAAAGTGGGACAATCTTGGCCAACAGAGGACAATGATTCACTTCTCCTCACCTCCCCACTCGGAGCAGCTCAGCCACCCCAGAAGCAGGGGAAGGAGTATCATTACCCCTGACCACCCCCTGGATACAGAGCAATATCGATGGACAGAGCCCACCCCAAGTTCTGGTTGCCTGTTATTGTCAGAGCTCCTGAAATAACTGCAGTCCATGATGAGAAGCGGTCACTGGTAATCCAAGCTCACTCCCACAAGGCTGTTGCTGTTTGCTATCCTTTTTGAAGTATCTATTGGCTAAAAGGGAAGCCTCTATTAGCATAAAATGGCACCCAGCATGACAGTCCCTTTAGTGTCCTGATTATAGAATGCAATGTCCTCTCCTCAAAGAGCCGCCATGCAGTGATCTGTTTCTTTGAGGCGCAAAGCGAAGATGCTGAAATCCTTCATCAAAGGATGCATTTCTGATGCCTGGTGGAACTGTCACATTGGATATTGCTGAACCTCGCCTTTTATTTAATACAGCTGACTATGGCCCTCCAAGGCCGTTCGAGTTGGTCTGACTCCTGCTCACTTTGTGCAGCTCCATGGCAACTCCATAAATCATCTTGCTCTAGTTATGCAGCTTCCTGTACAAGAGGGATCAGATTTCATTATGGGAAACAATGAGAATCTAAGCGAGACTATTTGAGCTTCTGCAGCCTTTCTGAAGTTCTCTTTTTTCTTTTTTACATGCTTGCTGGGGCGAGGGAATCCTGCTCCGTTCCTTAGACAAAATTAGTTTCCACATAATGTCCTGCGCTTAGGCAGGGAGAATCAGATGCACCCTTATCGGACGAGTGACACTGGACTCGGCTGTTGTAAAAATAAAAAAGGTGGGGGGAAATCTGGAAAAGCAGAAGCCAAATAGGAGTCGGCAATGCGATAGCGTAAAGGTTCAGTCAGTTCTGGATTATGTTAGTAGAAGCATATTGTACGGACTGCACAAAATAACAGGATGGATTCAGCGAAGTCGCCCTCTAGGAGGGCTGTGTCCAGTTCGGGGCTTTCAGGAATATATCAATTCGTGCATGCAAAGGAGGCTAGCAAATATATCTGTGGGCATAGAGAGCAAGCCCTGCAAGGAAAAAGAGAAGGAGCTGGATGCATTAAGCCTACTAAGGAGAGGAGAGAAGCAATGTAATAGCTATCTTCAAATACTGAAGGGCTGTCACAATACCTAGTATGGACGCACACAAGTGTTCATGCCTAGCTTACATGTTCCAGACACGAGCACGCCTGCCACAACTGCTCGTCAACTGTGTGTTTGCTGTCATCTCATTTCTGCAGCTTCCCAGTGAGCTGCAGAAATTTCCTCACGGGTGCAAATTCCTGTGGACTGAACCAGCCCTAATTTGTGCTATGGAGAAACATTGCCCAAATAAAGAAACAGGAGGAAAACTTGCAGAAATCTCTTGTCCAGTCCCAGCTTGATGTGCAGCCATTTCCTAGCCCCCAGACCAGATATGCTGATGTCATGAGGCTGCCCTGGAAGGTGGTGGATTCAACTTCCTTAGTGGTTTGTGAGATGCGGCAGAATGGGCACCCGTTGGTTTATTTGGCAGGTGTGGGATTCGATGGTCTTTGAGGCCCCCTTCCCACTCTACAATTTTATCAAATGACGTCTCCGCAGCAGGGCACATGTTTTTAAACTGCAGGTTGACCCCAGAAGATAATATACTTCTCTCCAGGCAGCACAGAATCTCATTAACAGGCACAAAATATGACACATTGAGTAACAGCGATGCATCAAGTGACCGAAATAGGCAAGACTGAAAACAGCAGGAAGAAGCTACTGTTTCTCCTTGGCCATAAGAAAAAAAGGAAAGAGGATCCCACCTCCCTCCATTAAATTGCATTGTATGTACAGATGTGGCATTTCACAGTTAAGATGTCAGGTCTTCTGGGAGAAGAAGTATGGTGATGAGATATCTGGATTCTGCAATAGCAGCAACAGTGCCATCTTGACAAACGCCCTCAATTCTCGCTCCAAGTGACATTTCTTAAGTCAGAATGCTCTGCCAAGGCATCAGTAGAACAACCACGGCATTGCCCCCTATGAAACACTGAGCCAGCAGTCTGAAACTTGGCTCGTCTGTATGGATGGTGTTCTTTGTCCCATGTCACTGGTGGGATAGCTCTCAACAGAAGCTACTGGGTCTCCCGCAGATGGGACATGAGTAGAATTTCCCCTAAGTAGAAGCATCTCTACTCTGGTTCCCCAGAAACTGGCACTGCGAAGCATAGTCGAGTTCATAGTCACTGTGTCCTGCAGCCATTGAGAACCTCTCAGAAGTCTAACCATGGGCGCTTGCTCACTTCTTTACACTCAGAGGGTGTGTTTCTGAATAGACAAAGAGGTCAGACCCACACCAGAATTCTCAAGCAGCCTCATGGCAAAGACACAGCATTAATAAGAAGTTTCTCCTTGAACTTCTCCTGCTTCGGGGAAGGAGGACTAGTAAACACGCGCTTCCCGTTTAGGCAGTGGTGCCTTAAGGGCATGATTCGGCAGAAGACGTCATGCAAAAGCAGCCGAGAGATCCACACATGAAATGTGACTGGCATACCGCATTTTTCAGTAACAAGTTCACCCCGTAAGCCCATTAAGTCTAAAGTGGAGAGAGTCACATGCCATTCTTGATCACAAAGGCCTAAGTACAGTCACCTTTTACGGGGGTAACCAACCTAGTGCACCCCCTCAAATGTTCTGGACTACAACTCCCATAAACCTTGACTGCTGTCTATGCTGGCTGGGGTTTATGACAGATATAATCCAAGATCTCGAGAGCATTGGGACAGCTATTCTTACCCATGATTACGGTCATGATGACACCCCCGCATTATCACCTAGACTTTCTCCTGTTCACACCATTAATGGGGTGGGACAGGTAAGATCTTTAATAAACTGAAGGATCAAATTACCGAGGGTTCCAAATGTATACACATTTTAAGAAAGGGAAAAACTGTATTACAATTGTAATACTCAATATATACCTATAACAAAAGATGAGTTCAAGTCATGTTTGATTTCTGCAATTACAAGAGGTGTTCAAAGTGCTCAAGAGGTGCCCAAAGTTACTATCAGTGTCCAGATACTTCTGATTATGGTAAAGTACTGCTTGAGCAATGTTGACTAACATGTCTACCTGTATCACCGTGTGTGCCATTTCAATTTCTTCCCAAAGTACTGCCATCTGTTGAGCAAATGTCATACTATACATTGCTACTATAATTCAATTCAGCTTTAAAAAGTAGCACATAGATAGCATCTCCTAAAATCTGTATAAATTTTGGCACTCCCTGTATTCACAGAGATGATCTGTGATGGAATATTCCTATTCCCACTTCTTTGGCAGTCTGAATGGTGAGATTTCACAGATAAAATGATGGCGAAGGAAGATTCCCCCAGCTGAGGGAAAGAATGAGATCATGTTACCAAATTTTCTATCTGAATTGGAACGATGAATACAGAAGTGTTGCTGGAGGAGAGTTTTGCAAATAACCTGGACTAACAGAAAGACAAACCAATGGGTCCTCCATCAAATCAAGCCAGAACTTTCCCTAGAAGCAAAAATGACAAGACTGAAGCTGTCGTACTTCAGACACATCACGAGAAGGCAAGACTCCCTGGAGAAGACGATGATGCTAGGGAGAGTCGAAGGCAGAAGATAAAAGACCAAATATGAGATGGGCTGAATCCAGCAAGGAAGCCACAGCCCTGAATTTTAAGGAGCTGAGCAGGGCTGTCATGGACTGGAGATTTTGGAGGTCTTTCATTCACAGGTCTGCCATATGTTGGAAACAACTTGATGGCAGGACACAATAATAAATACAGAAACGGATGGGAACCAATGGAATAATTCAAACTTGAATGGCAAGATCCTACTTTGCTGCCCTGACTATGGGTGGGAATGGGATAGCTTCAGGTTCAACAGATACCTGAGAGTTACCTAGACAGAAAGGTAGCAAGTATCATTGAGCTTGAGTTTTCTGACTAAGATGGAACCCATTTGCAGCCTCTGCACTGGACAATGTCCAAAGCAATCTGCAGCCAAAGTCAGTACATTCCTATGCTTTTAATGTGGTTTGTGGACCAAAGAAGACAGCCCGTGTACATTCGGAAAATGAGCTTGAAAGGCATCCTTTTGAAAAATGTGCACACATGCACACACACACACAAAATTACAGATGAAGGTATAGGTAAGCAGGGCAGAATGCACACAGCTTCTGCTTGAGTCTGCTTAAGTCCACTTCTGCTCAGGTAGCGCCTGCTGGCTTACTTGTAATGATGCAAAGATAGAGCATCTTTCATCATTCAATCACATTTATATTCCGCCTTTCTCCACACCTGCAAGAAAGTCAAAGCGGAGAGACTCCTCCATTTTCTCCTCACAGCCACTCCTTGGGAGGTAGGCAGGCCAAGAGTGAGTGGCGGGCCCAAGGTCACCCCGTAAGCGAGACGACTGAGTGGGAATGAGATCCTGGATCTTCAGTCCAACACTATTGGACTATTGGGAATTTCATGATTGCCAGTAGGTACTCTAAACACAGGAGACCCGAAAAATGTGGGTCACCAGAGAAATACAAGAAAGGAACTGGCTCTGCACTCTGGATATAATCAGGTGAAGAGGGAGAATGCAGGACCCTAGAACTTTGCTGGCTTCTCCTCTGTCTCTACAGGTCTTCTCTGGGTGTTCTCTGCTTAGCCTTCAGCTGACCCTTGTCGTGTCATCTCCCCCGCCCGTGCCCTGTCGATCGCAGCATCTTACCAGCCGGTGTTGAACTCAACGTGAGCATCAAAGAACCCAACAACAGGAGATGTGGCAGCTTTCCATCCTTGGATTCTGGCTCGGATCAGCCCTTCCCGTTTGTTATTGCGAACAATTTTCACCAGTCCTGGATACCTTTTATGGACATACTGGTCCAAATTAAACTTCAGCTCAACTGTAAAAGAGGCAAAAAATAAAAAATAAAAAAATAAAATTTGATTGGTATTATACACGGCCTGTGGCATTTCAGTGAAATCTCATTCTCCCTGGGGAAATATTTCTTGAGAACACCAGCCCAGCGGTGGATAATTTAATCAGACCAATCTAATTATTAAGTATGCAGAGTTCTCCCCTCCTATTCCCTCAATTTAAAAATAGATTGAACAACAGAATTTAATATTTTTGTGCTATTTCTATGGTAAGTATCCCAAAAGCAAATAAGATGAGTTCTTGGAACAATATGAAGTTTTAGCTTTGTTCTTTGCCAGGTAATGATCAATTGTGAGTTTTTCTATACGTAATCAGTTGGGTAGCCTCCCCTTCCAGTAATTCCTCAGTCAGATCCAGTTTCATGTCTGTTTCACAACAGAAATGCTGCATCTCTGCCAATGGGCCTTCTATTGGCTTCAATGCAGATTTTTCCATGAGTTCTCATACTCCTGGATGCCCATCATTAACCTTCCATTAAAGTGAATGGGGAATCCAGTGTGAGCTGAGCTGTGAGATGACCTACTTTGCAAGAAGAGGGCCACAGTTCAGTAGTACCTAGAAAAAAAACACTGGTCCATCTACCTCAGTGATTTCTACACCCCTTGAGCTTGCTTAATTTCACCTTCCAGGTCACCCACCTCACAGGCACAAAGTAGGGGAAAGGTGTCTGTGGTGTTACAGCATTAAAAGGTTCAAGAGTCATTCATTTCAGGGACCTGCATACAGCTCATGTACCGCATCCCCAGTCTATACCAGTATTCTCACACCTGGTCCTGCTATGGCCGATTTGGTCCAGTTCTGTTGCAAACAAGAGGCAAGTCGTATGGAAAGTAGACAAGCAAAAGCATTGCCAGTCCGGGTCAAAAGGACAGGAGTTAGCAACACAGGAGACCCCTCCAAAGAGAAGCAAGGTACCAGGAGCTGAAAATTGCTCCAACAAGCAGTGGGTCTCAAGTAAGGACTGAAAAGCTGGGGCTTCTAGTGCCACCCCCAGGGCTCAGCTGCAGCCCATCAGAGACTTCTGGACGAAGGCCACCGCATGAGGAGGGCCCTTCTCACAAGAAGTTCCTTACTCATACGGTGTCTCTGGCAAACGGGCAGGCCTGTCCACAGTCCCATCTGGCTTGCCTCTTGTGATGTTCACCCTCTCAGGGGCTCGGTGGCTATTCAGGCCTCATCTGAGGTGGAAATGCCTTCTTCTGAAGGTGGACCCATGGCTCTTCCTCTTCTTCTGGCACGGTCTTTTCCCTGATGTTGGTTTTCTTGGGGAACGCCAGCTCCTCTGAAGAGGATGTCTCCAATGTGGGCACACCCTAGTGGTTTTGGACTTTAACTCCCATCAAGCTCAGCCAGCATGGCCAATAATCAGGAACTGCAGGAAGTGTAGTCCAGAACATCTAGGGGACAGCAGATTGGCAAAGGATGGACTATTTGGGCTGACTGGGTCTGCAAGCCACGCTTAGGAGCTCTGGGGAACTTTTGCATGGACCTAGAGTCCTTTCCCAAATCACTGCCAAGCACATGGTAGGAGGCTTCGGCAAGGGGCGGCATAGAAATGTTTTAATAAATAAAATAAATAAAACCACCAAAATCACAAACACCACCACCCTAAGGCACGTCCCGATCACATACTTGTTACCTTAACAGCTTCCTCTCTTTATGGACAATGTAGAAAGACAAGCAGGAAAACAGGTGTTGTGAACACTTACCGTTGTCACTGTTGTCATCCACCAGAATAATTTCCTTGAGCAAATGGGACGGTGTGTGATTGGCAACACTGTGCACTGAGCGCAAGATGACCGAGAGGGCCTCGTTGACAAAAATGAAGACCACTGAGATCTGGGGAAGGTCATCGGGGTAGGACATCTGCTTGCACCTGGGAAGAACAAAAGGAGGACTGAGGCCTGCTGAGTGGTTAATACATGGAACCTTCTAGAGATCACCCAACATCTTCCCAGGTCAGTGGAGACACCCCCCTCTCATGGTTGGTTCCCCCATGCACCCTGCCCATGGCCCAACCAGTCCACCGGGAGCAAGAGACTCTTCCTCCAGCCACTCAGATGCTGTCAATCCTTTTTGGCTCTACCCCCAGTCATGGAGCCAAGTGTAGACAAGACAGCGAGAGAGCCCATTTTCACAATTTGGCCCGAAAGGAGAGAGAGAAAAGAGCAATCTCGTCTGCGGCAGCTAGACGAGTCAAATGCATGGAAGCAGAGCTCTGCAGAGCTCACGTCCCGTTCACAGGCTTCTCACGGGGATATGTGGCCCACCCCTGCAGGACAGGAATACAGGACAAGTTGCGCCTCCGCGGTGATCCAGCAGAGCTTCCCTGTGTCTTCTGCAACACACCTTGCAATGAAAGCCAATTCCCAACTCCCTCCCCTGCATAGAAATTAACATTAAAAATAACCGACATGCTCTCGCAGGCAAATCCAGTGTCCAATTATCATAGCAATTACGGGTCCTGTTCTCTAAAATACAGCTAATGATACCACAGGAAATGACTTTCCTTGCTCTTGTCAAACTCAGCGACCTCCTGGCTCATGCCTTCAACATAATGATCACATTTTCTTTAACCATTAGCCATTTATCTTTAGGGGGTGAGGGAAGGACATGTTTGACTACCAGGTGACCCCTGGCAATTCGCCAGAGTGGAAGAAACATGGAGCAATCCATTTTCAAAGGCACTCCCAGGTTCCATGTTTTGGAATGTGCACAGAAGCTCTTAACCATCGTTCTTGTGGCAATGTTATCACTTGCAAGAATGACATTTATACCCCTAAGAGATATACTGGGTGTTTTAGGCACAATCCTTTGCATGTTTACACAGAAGAAATCCTACAGTTCCCAGGATTGCCCAGCCATTATTCTGCCTAAATAGCATAGGACTCTGCTATTATTTATATCATTTAATATCTTCCAATGAGGCCTAAAACAAACCCTGAACCAGAGATCATTAAATGGGTCAATTTCCCTTCTATTTCTCCTTTTTCCAATGATAACTTCATTTCATCAACATCAATGTTTTTAATGGCCCATGATCTATTTTTTTAAAAAACTCCATGATTAGGTACACACATTTCTACAGAGATTACTCCTAATTTATGTATTTTTGCATGCAAGTTTACTTAACTTGTATTTTCACTAAATAGTTGCTTGTATGCACTCTCCCCTAATATAAGCATTTTAAAACTTTTTTAAAAAAGGGAACAGCATTGCAACATTTGGAGAAGTATAACTCAGAGCAGAAATGTGTTCCAGCTTGCATATTGGTTTAGAAGTACAACAACCCAGTGAGGTAGGTTAGGCTAGGAGTTGGTGTCTAGCCCAAAGTCTCCGGTGAACTTCATGGAAATCATTGTTCCATTTCTTTGGAATTCCCTGACCCTGGCACTGAGGCAGGCACAAGAATTAGGTTGTTCTTGGTGCCAACAAAAAGGACTTTGCCTTCATGAAGTCTGAAATAGCCTACCATGGTTTTATTGATCTTGTCTTTAACATCTTGCCTTATTTTTCACTTGTTTTCTCTTTGATTGTCACTACTCTGAAACCCCCAGGCCAAAATTTGACATGACATATAAATCTTGTAAGCACAGAATAAAATACAGGGGGGATGGATCTAGGAAAACCCAGACTTCCCCAGTTCTGAGCCCAGGAATGTGTTATTAAGTCCCAGAAGTGAACTGAAGTTCCAAGAGCTGAACAAACAGCTCTTCCGAGTAAGAAATTCACTTGGATTTAGTCCAAAACTCCTTATTTCTACAGTAGGATTTAGGGCCATTTGTTGGTGCAGAAATTCTGGTCGATGCGCTGAAAATCACCTAGAGATCCACCACTGCAGCCAGAATGACCTTCTACCTTCCGCTGTCCTAAGGGGATGTGGTTAGCAGGTACATGCGAGTCTCTACACTAAGAATGTGGACCAAATAGGAGTTCTATTCCTGCTGGCTTCAAATTTCGTCCCTCTTCCCTCTCTCTCAACAGGAGCTGAATCCAACACAGAGCTGTGGGAGGACATGGTTGAAATTCTTGATCTGTGTTTCATCCCTGGAAGCAAGAGCAAATGCTGGGTACAGAATAGATCCACTCCATGGCTGCCGAATCTTGCAGGCAAACCTTCTGTCTCAATTTTATGTTTCCTAATCAACCTAATTAGAATTTGTTCTTGCTCCTGGGGAAAATGTTAACGACTGTATTCCATGGCCTTTCCCCTGCCGAGTAATGAACCTTTTCCCCCACAATCCTGCAGGAGAAAAACAAAGGAGCGGAATAATAAACGGGCATGATGCAGAGCTAATGAGATAACACAAGTGCTTGTTGATGTGGAGAGCAAGAAAAGAATGCAAACTGAAAATGTCTTTCCTTACAAGTGAGACAGGGAAAGAGTAAGGCTATCTCTAAGCCATTGGAAGAACTTCTCATGTACTTGTTGAACCTCCTGGAATCTCAGCTGAACAAGCTGAACTTCAGTGAGAAGGATCTGGAGCAGTGGCATAGCTAGGGCTGGACCTTGGAGCCAAACTCCAGGACCCTCAGCCCTGGGGGTGAGGCAGGGGAGTGGATGGCAGCATCAAATGCTCACTGAAGACCAACAAGCGGTGACATCATCAGCATATCCAACCGAGCTTCATTTTTTAAATTTCAGGATGAATGTATTCCATTCATTTTATGCTGCAATGATGATTTCTTGATTTGCTTAAAATGCAAAGCTTGCACGATCAAGTGTCTATCTATTGATTTGCAGCTTTGTTAAATATTCTGTCATATAAGGGATGCAGAAGCAGTTGTAAAGGAGACAGTGGTGATAGGAGTTGGGAGAGAAAGAGAAATATCAGTTCTTTGCTTCACAGATAAAGTAATACGGAGCACAGCACCACAATAACAATCTCCAAAGAAGACCACCATATGCAAAACTCCAAAATGAGTTACCTGCACCACTGATTTGAGCAATGCACCTACAAGTCTACTGTGGAATGTCTAGAAGGGAGAAGCTCTCCTAGTCCTCTTCTCCCAACCTCTC